AAAAAATATATGCGGTTTTAAAAATATTCAGATTTACGACTGGATTCCGTTGTGTAAGGTTTATTCAGTTCGTGGTCAATTGACGAACTTGTTCATCTATCATCTAATTGTTGTTTATTTGTAAGGTCGGTAAAAATATTTCTCAAGTTGCATTGAATATTAATCGGGCTAGAGAACAAATATTTCTTCAACTTTCTGTGCTTTTCTAATAAGAGAATAAATGTCCACCAAGAAGTTGTGACTGTATTTTTTGCTTTATTCAGAAGGTAGTGGAAACGCGGCTACTTTTCTTTGATCAACAGTTTTCGCGTCACGGTTTTATCGAGTCGGCAAATTTTCTGTTGTGGATGCGTCTAATCAAAGCATTTATTGTTTACTGATGAACTAAAAGTGCGGCCTTTTCCCACTGCATTGTCAAAACCCAGCAACGTTGCCTTATACTTTATGCAGTTTAGATCACTTTTAAAAAACCCCATGAAGTCCCATGCGTATTCACCTTTTTTCCCAAGAGCCAAGCTGAGCGAGTCGGCAAATTTCGAATGTGTCCAGATATACTATAAAAGCGTTGATTACTAGTCGTTGAACCCTTAGTGCGTGCAAATCTCGCAGTATTGAGATAACTTTTATTAGAGCGTTTCTGGTGAATCATTGTCATATTTTTATACAAACAAAAATATTTCTCATGTTGTAGCAACTGAATTTTAATCAAGCGATCGTATAAATAAAGACACCAATTTCTTGTTGATTCAAACTGTTTTCAGTCAGAAAACTGGCCACAGTGAAGATGATCAAACACACTTCAAACGATCTCTGGTGTAGAAGAATTGTCAAGATTCTCTTCTGCCTCTTCCAAGCAAGGTTTGTTCTTAGTTCGTATTTTTTGTTTTGACTTATTGCTAAATTAAACAAATCACAGGCAATAAATCTTATGATAAAAACGGTGCTATCAGCCGAAAGTTGTACGAGCTCTTAGATGCTTAACTCAGTTTCTTAACATAGCTAGCTGTGCATGATTCATTTTGAGTGTTTGATCTGTCATCCAAAGTTTTCTGTGAACTTGTAAAACAGTTCCAGACTTCAGGCTACTGTTCAGTGCTTCGATGATACACGTGAAGGGCAAAACGTAACTACAAGAATTGTCACTGAACAAAGCATCAAGAAACTTAGGTTGCCCCGTCGGATTTGACTTTTTCTTGTGACTAGAGTTGGAAATTTTTTGTTGCAAAATAAAAAATTTGGTAATCGGTTGTACAGAGAACACGTATATATTTACTTCAAAAGTTGCAAAGGTTTTCTTTGACTCAAACAATATGCTCAGAATATTATATTTCTATTAAGTTAACCGCCATTTGTGCTATTTAAAGTGTCTGAATAATTGCCCTATATCAGTAGGATTTGCGGGTAATTTATATGCGTCGATGGAAGTGCTATGCCAATAAACCCTCATAAAAGTGTGGAAGTGCCAGCACTGGCTTGGGTTTAATTGAGAGCGCTCTAGTTCAATTTGGGAATTATCATAGTACATAAAATATTATCATCCTTCCGCTTAAACAGAAAACGAAATCTTCTCAGGGTTTGACGCTTGGTTTTTCAGTTTTGTTATGGTGGGGGAACACAGTTTCTCTGACATAAAGTTGCGCGCGCTAAGAAACTTCACTGACGAAATTGTTTCAGCGTGCACGTGATCTAAAGAAAAGACTTTATCCCTCTACTGTTAACATCTTTATTATGATTACATATGCAGCCAATGAGATTTTCTAGAAAAAATGCGAGTACAAACTGATGAAAATTGCCATAAGTTTTCTGTAGAAATATACTCTGATTTCGTCGCTTTTGTCATATCGCGTGACCCTGGTTAAGTAACCCCAGCGCACACAATTGTTGAGCATGCGTACTCTGTAGGGAAAATGTGAGAAGGCTTGTTTTAAAGACTTTCAATAGACAATGGATAGAAACTACGATTTCCTCAAATCTACTCATTAGAATTTGACGAAATTTGATAAAAATTTCAAAAACTGTTTGGTAAAATTAAATTCGGTTAAGCATTATTTATTGTAACAGTGCAAACTTATTAGAAAAATGAATAATGAATAACGAATAAATAAAAAATGTGTCGAGATGAGTGATCTGTATCAAAAGTTAATTGAACTGTGTGATAATTCATCAACCCAGTTGATTTCTAGTTTGGAGATTTATTTAGAGATGTCCATAGGATTCAATTACTATCCAATGATATGTCATGACTGCCATTAAATATTCAATGAATTTTACAGCCTTCTTTTATGTAATCAAGAATTATTTTCCGTAGGTTTACCACGGATGTGCTTCAGCTAATTATTAATTATCAGCTAATTGGGTCTTTTAAGTTGACAGTAAAGAATAACTAAAAAATGGTTTGGAAAAAATACTATAGTAAGAAAATAACATCAAAGTAAAAGTTATATAATACTTGCAATGATTTGAAATGGTAGTAATAAGAACAAATGCTAAAACTTGTTATTTTTTTTTGCAGGATTACAGAATTATGCCAGGAAAAAAAAATGCTATGCAAGAAGGTCTTCAAAAAAGAAACAATAAAATTTTAAAACTGCCGCCGTCCTTAACAGGATTTTGCAGCCAACTTCTTTGTCTATGTTATTGATTATTTTTACATGCCAAACCTGTGGTAAGTGTTCTTTCTATGAATTAAGACAATCAAATAAGCGGAATATCTGTAAAACATTTTTCGATCATTTACAGGAGTAAGCTTTTTTCCAAATTGATATCTAAAAATTTTTTTTTAAGACACCACAGGTTTGGTATCTTTAATACAACTATTTCTGTTTGCCTTTACGTACGCTACCGAAAAGCGTAGACATGTAATGCACAGTTCAATTGTTTTTACACCAGAAGGTAGTTATTACTGGTACCTGAGTAGAAATATAGGTTATTATTCAAAATAATAGCCCTTACTTCAAACTCAGGGATGTTTTTGCATCCCTTAAAAATAATTACCAGTTAAAAACAAAGTTTGAAAAGTATATTTGCATTTCTAATCTGGTTATGTAAATATAAAAAGAGAAAAGAAGATTTTAAAAAAATTCAACCAGCAAACCACAGAAGTGATAAAACAAAAAGAGGAAGGTACGTACAAACAAGGTAAGTTTCTTTCTAATAAATTTAAGCCCAAGGGACTAAGGGTGGACCCGGTGAGGGGGAGCGCCCAAGGGACTAAGGGTGGACCCGGTGAGGGGGAGCGCCCAAGGGACTAAGGGTGGACCCGGTGAGGGGGAGCGCCCAAGGGACTAATCTCCTGCATGGTGCTTCTTAGGTAGTTCTCGAGTCTTCTAGGCAGAAAATGTGAGCCCTCTGAAGTAGGCTATGTTACAGGTATTGTCAGACACATCTTTAAAAGTGTCTTTAAGCCCCAGGGGGGGTACTCGGGATTTCAAGTGACGGGGATGATCGAAGGATTTTTTTGGGTTTGAAATTTTCGATTCCGGGATTTTTTTGGGTACGAAATTTTGGCTTAGGTAGCTTGATTTGAGTACGGATTTTTTGGGGGTATGGAAAAGAATCGGTAGTGCCCTGGCTGCGTAGTTCTGCGAATAAAGTACAAACAAACTTGTTTTGCTGTAGTTTAATAGTTAACTATGGTGTCGCTTTATATCGCACGTGTTATACAGTAGTCTACAGAAATCGGCATGGGATTTTTTGGGGTTTTGCTGGAAGCCCTAGGGAATTTGTTGGGTCTTGACTTTTGGCTCCATTCGATCATCCCCGTCACTTGAAATCCCGAGTACCCCCCTGGGCTTTAGGCACCAAAACGTGGGGTCTGCCCCCCTCATTTTTGTTTTGGGGGGGTGGCTACAGACCTTCTTCTCTCCCTGAGTTCCGCCGCCTACTAAAAATTACCCAATGATGCAATATGCTAGAAACATAATATAGAAGTGTAATGTAGGAAATGTAAACAATACATTTTTTTGCTTGTCTGGGCCTGTGTTTTTAAATGTTATGAAAATTGTTACAATCGACCGAAAAGTCCGGTTACTCCTGGAAATTCTTGGTGGGGGTGTGCTGCCCGGTTCTCCAAATGCTGACCCACCTGTTTTCAGACCTGGCCTCTAAGAAATTATGTCATTAATACTTAGATTAGAACAGCAACAAAACGGATTTCTTAAAATCCATTTCGAATTTGCATATTTTTCTTTCTTTCTTGGTCATTGGAACTGAAAAGATAAATAGGTTCATACACTCCCGTAGTTCCCTCGATCACCATACCCGATTCCACGGCAAAGTGTATGCCCGTTTTCAGATCAAAACGCCACAAAAACTCTACCGTTCAGGGCGGCACATACCTACTACTTAGCTAAGGAGTAGCCCCCTCCCCTGGCCGGTACAAGAGAGCCAGTTTGGGATGCCTGTGCTGGTTGATCGTTAGAAAACGAGAAGGGCCTGGGGCTTAGGTGTTGTGGATTCGGAGACAGACTCGTATAAATTAGGACATTTCATTTGCAGGCCTGACTCTTTATAGTTTACGAGCATGATTGCTTAAAGAATTTCTTACGCGCTCTCTAGGGAATGGCTGTTTTTAAAACTTGTCCTGTTGGTTTTTTTGGTTTCATTTTTTTCTGCTTACTGGACGCTTCCTTTGGCAACCTTGATGTGAACTCACGTGTAGTGAAGCGCGACGTTGGCACCGCACATGAATTTCGTGCCAGACGTGACCATCGGTGGATGTTGTTTACTCCTTCATTTGCAATGTAGATGATCAAAATAAAACGGTCAAAACTACCAGTCGATCGTGGATTTCCTCTTGTCTTGCGAGCAATTTTGAGGTCCAAGAGGGCAACAAGATATCTTGGCGGAACCGTAAGTAGCCTGTGACTCGTAAACTTGTATGTCAAGAGAGAAAATATTTATCCTTGGTCTTGGTCTTCACGGCAGGATTCGTACTTGTTGCCTATTTTGCCCTTTTTTTAAAGTGTCTTTGACACTTCTAGGCTTTCCCTCACCCAAACATGTTCGTTAACTTCACAGGCCTTCCAGAATTACGGCATCTTCCTTGCCGCGCAACAATGGAGCTGAAGAAGACTTTTCCTTTAAATGTAGTTCTTGTGATGAATTTGGAACAAAACAACCCTCGGTGTGCACAGTCTGTTGTACGAAGACTGCACGAAAGCTGGACACCACATCACTTTGTTTGGTAAGAGGTTAATTATTTTCGTATTTTTTACGTACGCGTATTTTCTGGTGAATTTTACCGGTCTGTCTTCCCTGCTAGCAGTGGTGTCTCTCTCCTCGTCGTGATGGTCTGAGATCTCTGCTGGCAGGGAAGAATCCCGCCTGCCGAATACCAGGAAAAAAGAGGCCACAGTGCTTCGAAGCTTGGAACGCTAAGAGAAAACAGAATGTAGCGAAGGGAAATTCCATTTTATTTTGTAATGACGTTGTTTTGGTTCATACGCAGTTGTTGTATTCACTTAATTTTTCTCGGATCGGTGAGATCTACTTTGATAGCACAGACTTTGATGGTTTTTGTCCGGTTTTCGTCCTGCAAGCGAATGTAAAGTTTCGATCTGGGGAGCCAAGCGATCCGTGTCTGAAAGGGCAGAAATCTTAAGTTTCGAGCGACCTAGTAGCTATGTGATACCGATCGACAGAGTGTGGATAAAATTTCCAAACCAAAACAATCAGCAGGCAACAAAATTCTGAATTCATTAACAAACTCATGTGACTAAATAATGCTTACGTCACGCGTGGCTTATGGGCTCACGAAAGTTCTGTACTTTTATTGGTTAATGGCAAATTTCAATAACAAAAGCAATGTATAATAATTAAAGGGACACAGGCAGCCATGGGACCGCGCTGGCCTGGACACTACTTTTCCAGTTTGAAAAGCATTTATCTCAATCCTAAATCAAATCTACGCATCCGATACATCTAGAAATCCACGGCAATCCTACCTAGTGTTTCATTGGATCCTCAATCTTTTACTGAAAATCTCTTTTTGAGCAAACTTTTACTCATGCTATTACAATATTTTATCATATTTGGTTAAAAACAGTATTTAAAGGAATGTGAACAGAAGCGGTGAGAAACGCGTAGGCTCCGGGCAGGAGAAATCGCCTTCATTTACCAAAACAACAAGAGAAATGATCATTAACATTGATGAGCAAATAATCGTTATATTTCTTTGCAAAATGGATGGAATAGGTTACATATATTTGGAAAATCAAGCGTTCTCAACCGTGAACCTTCCACACAGTACAATCACTCAGACTTCGTGCAATTTCTCACCTCTACTGATGTTAGAATTCGGAAGTATTTGTTGATGTTTGGCTTCCCTGGAAAAATCCATCGGTGAATTCTCAATGGTATATAAAAAATGAGTGCTCTGATGTGGCTTAGGGCCCATAATCACGATTTCGGCTTGTAACTAGTTCAACTCTACAAGGTTTGTTTAGAGTATTCCGGATACGCTTTTGTTTCACGTGTGTCTTGTGACATAGAAATCAGCTAAGAAGTGGTATTTAATGTGCATGTGCATCAGCTGACTGTGTCCCTTTAATAAACATCTAATTGATTCTTGACCCCCTCTCAACATTGACAGCAAGGACCTAAAAACAGCTGTCTCATCATTAGTTCAGGCCTGTCAAAAAATACCCTTAATTAGCTTATACTGGAATGTTATGCCATAAAAGGATCTTTGCTGTTTGCAGTTAGTACAATTGCTTTACATGTATGTTGACTTGGGTCACATTCTTGAGTGGGGCTTCAATTTGGCCTCCAAGAAAATTACTCTCTTATTTGAAAAGTTACCATACAGTATATGCCTCAGTGAAAGACATTTGAGCAATGTATGACAAATGTAGTGGCTCCTTCTGATTTCACATGAATTTTTCTGACTGGATTTGCTAAAACATGGCTACAGAAATTTCCCTCATATACCTTTACTGAGTCTTGTTGTGGCGCAGTTCTTTTTGTTATTTTTTACCAAATATTTACTGAGTACGCTGCAGTAGAGAGACTGTCATGAGTTTCTTACTGGATGTTAACGTCACCACCCCCCCCCCCCCCCCAAAAAAAAACAAGGTGCTTATAAATTTCCCATTAAATTTTTTTTTCTTCATTTTATTGTTTCTCGTGGTTATTACGGTCACTAAGTGTGGGTGTGCTGTTTTGAGGTGTTTGTTTGTTTGTGATTGTGTGTTGCGTTCTACTGATTATTTTTCGTACTGGGTTTTTGAAAAACTGGCCAAATAAATTTCTCGTGTATTCCTTTTCTGGGTTTTTGTTTTGCGACGTTTTTTTTTTTTTTTTTTACCAAATATTTTTTTAGTACGCGTCAGTAGAGAAACTGTCATAAGTTTCTTACTGGATGTTAACGTCCCCCCCCCCCCCCCCCCCAAAAAAAAAAACATGGTTTTCATAATTTCCCATAAAACTTTCTGTATATCAGTTTGAAATCAGCGGGCGTATTTGACTGAACTCATAGTGGTGGGTTGTCATAGAGCTTTCAGCTGCCTTGAGCAAAGTTTTTCCCAAAGGCATCATTAAGCCTTATAAAGGAACAGCACAGGTCTCTCAGTTGGCAAAGTCTGCTGCATCCAATGTCTTATCACATTTCATCTCATTTGGCTAGTACATGGGTGAAATGCTGTCCTGGGCTTGAGACAGAAAGATTGGATCTTGCGAACTTTGTTGTTGGCAGTAAAAAGTCTTTAACCTCCCAAAGTAGGTTCTAGGGGTAAAATCTACTGTCAGTGAGATGGAAATTGATGCTGATTTCTGACCAGCCAAAGAATTAGTTAAAAATTGTTTGGAAGGCGGGGCTCCATGTCTCCTTTCATTCCTAAACCTGGCATGGTATATTTTCAACTGCTGGTTTACATTCGGGATTGTGAATTAAAATAGACTGTGTGAGTGAGTTGAGAAAAGTTTCAATGCAACGATTTATGTTGAGAAAGCTAGACTTTTTGGGAGTAATTTGACAATGTTTCACCTGTGTTAAATGTGGAAATATTATGAATGGTTGTTGGAAGTCTTGTGAGATTTAGCGAAAGCGTTGACAGACTAAACTCAGGTATGTGGTTGAACTCCTGTTACCAGAATCCTTTGTGCCAAGCATAAAAACACTTCATGAGTGTTTAGTTTAGGTGATTTTGTCTTAGAAGCCCTAGCTATTCTGTGCTCAAAGATTGGATTCTTAATCTGTTTTCAGCAGACGCTTAGCCATGGGCCTCATGGTTTGACTGACTAAAAGGTTATAATTTCTGGATGTTTGAAATGTTGTTTATGTCATCGCAAAATCCTGTTACTTATGGGAGAGCAATTAGCTATCTGTTACCAGCAATAAAGTTGTCTGATTGTTAAATCCGCTAGTGACTTTTAACTGCTTTCCATTCGACTTAGATGACAAGTTGTTAAAATGCACTGGAAATTTCTTTAGCCATGTTTTAACAAATTCAGAAAGATATATAAAACATGAAACATCATTATTCTAGATACGGGCAGCAATTTATTAACCAATGCCACATTCTGATAATTAATTATAACTTACCTGAGCCTGCTGTACAAATATTATTGGAGTGCTTAGTTATTATTAAAACGATAAAACATTTTTCTCTCCTCTATTTTAGCTTGCTCTTCTAAGGGAAGACTCATCCCTATTCTGGAACACCCATTGTCACCGATGACGGGAAGTGTTTCTCAAAAACCTGAGGACATGCTGAGACACAAAATATGTGAGGCGGATGCTGTTATTCTTATCACTGACTGTCCTGTGTATGAGGTCCCAGAAAACTTGAAGTGTGTTGTGGAACACTTGGATGGCCATATATTTACTCTTGGATATCGTATGGACTTACTTGTTCACTCCTTGGAGGCATGGTACATGACAGACAAGTTGCCATTCAGATCAGTTGGCTTCTTGAAGACTCACAAAATTTAATTGTGGGAAGAATTCTTCCTCAGCCACGGTACTTTGACTTGTTGTACAGTTTTGATCCAATGCTGGAAACAGCTGAACCATGTGTTTTATGAAACCAAAAGATGATCATCTTTGAGGGGCTGGGGTGTTGGGGGGTGCTTAAAAGCAGTAATGGGAATTGAAACTGACCCAAATGGCAGATACTCATCCCCCACATTTGAAAAAGGCAAAGTTCTACCAAGATAAATATCACCAAACATGTTAACAACAATTGACCAAATGGCATTCAGTAAACCACAGTGTCTCCCCCTCAGTTCCTCCCATGTGCATTAATCACCAAATAAATTGTTATAGCTTAAGAACTACTCATACTATGGACCAACAACTTAAGCTTTGTCAGAGCACAATGTATATTTTGTAATTAATAGCTGGGCTTTCTATTTATGGTCTCACGCATTTTAAGAAAACATGAGCAGGGCTCGAAAAAAGTTCCATCCAGTAGTCGTGGACAAGAATATTTTCTTGACGGGCGACTATTATAGTCTCAACTTGCCCAATGTGCAAGAGTGATTCAGGCAAGCAATCATTCTCTTACAAAATAATAAAATATAAAGATTGACTAGCAATAGTTATTAATTATTGAAAGTGGCCCCTGGCAAGTGAAATGTGAGTCTGAGCTGCTTGCGCAAAGGACAAGCTGGTATTCAAGTTCTTTTTTTCAAGCCCTGTATGAGATTACAGTGATTGTAGACTCCAAGGTTGTGTGAATAAATTTTGAGTTTTTGTTGTTAGAATTGTTGATAACAGGGTTGCAAATAATTTTTTTCTCTTCAAAGGACATAATGTCCTACTAGCGCACCGTCTTGGTCGGACAAAACAAAAGTCTGGTCATACATCATCAAAAAAAAAAGTTTAAATCAAGTTTATATCCTTGAAATTACCAAGTTAAGGACAGTTAAGTTCATGCAAAGTTGACGCAATTTAATCTTCAGACACATTTTGACGACAGAATAATATTATTTGTGAATTGTTTTCAATTAATAGCAAAATTTTACCGTGATGACTCTCGAAAAATATGAGCGAAAAGAAACATCTCGCTACTTCTTGAAAAGCATCATTCTACCTTTCAGGTTCTTTGAGATCATCCTAACGCAATGTAAGGTTTACTTAAGGTAGATTTTTATTCTTCCTTACTGTAAAGTGATTTACGATAAAAAAATTCTCCAGACACAATGTCCGAACACAGGTGGGATTTTGTTGGACACCAGCAAATTTTGGTTGGCCAATGTCTGATGACCGACTGTTATTTGCAGCCCTGAATAAGATGTATTTGTAGGTCCAGAACACTTTTGACTGTCTTATGTAAAAATTGTTGGAAATTAGTTGACATTAAGTAGATGTTGAATCAAGAATGTCAAAACACCCATACCTTTCATAAGGGCACTCCTTTGGGCCCATGAAACTCTGCTAAATCCTTTTATTCCAATAGATCATGTTATGCTTGCAAGATTATTTTGCCACTTCACCTTTTAAATCTGGGGCCTGGATAAATCCCATAGTGCTTGTCATATCAAATTAAACCATTCTGGCAGAATTCTTGCATAGTACTATTTCTTAGGATTTTCCTGAAAGAAATTTGAATTTTCTTGTAATTTTCTTTTTTGGGGGACAGAATTAAGACTGAAAAGGTTTAGGGAGGTGTCAACAAGGAGAAGAATGCAGTGTTTGTTTGAAGCTAAACCATGACTTAAGTGTCTACTTGTTGGATGCTCTGTTGCAAATGTTGACTGTACATTCTCAAATGTTAGACTAGGGTATAGATGATACGTTTAGGATGTATTTTCTACCAATGTTGTCATTAAGTAGCATAAATTCATTTTAAACCCTTGATTCATATATGTGTTCATTCATTATTCAAGTTAAACTGTTTCAAGTTTGGGCTTTTGGATGGGAAAAGGCTTGACTTGCCAATTGTAAGTAAAAGTTATCTATTTATTAAACTGTAAAAAATTCTTAGAACTTTTTTGGGGGAAAATGTTATAATAGTGTATAGTAATACATCATTTAAGAATATGTGACATATGTGGGATCATTTTTAATAGTTGTTAATAAAAAAAATTATTTACACACTGTCGTGATTTAAGATTCTTAATTTTATGTTATTTGGGAAAATGATTTTTGATGCAAAGGGGAAAATTCTGTTGCCAAACCCCGATAAAAAACTATCTTGGAATTGAATGAAACTTCGAAATACTTTTTCAGCTTCATTTTAAGAAATAGAAAACATTAGAGGCTTCTGTCGTGGGCGGAATGAATTTCGTTATCCAAACTAAGCTTATTTATGGCTGGCAAGACTTACAGGTATCTTGCAGGTACTATGACGGGAAATGACGGGATGCATTGTTTTGTTTGCTCACGACGTCTGTAAAGTAACACGAACAAGTGGCAGTTTTTTCTGTCAGAAGAAAAAGGTAGATTTAATGTGTGGGACCTGAAGTGAGAGAAAAACCGAACAAGACCTTGAAAATTATCGCTTGACCTAACTTTGCTTTCAATTTAAGCTTAACATGACCGCGCGTGAAGTGAAATGGACTTTCAGTGACACCAAAGACATAAAAATAAAATTCCTACCTTGCTGAACCTGTAAGTTTGGAAAGAACAATTCCAGAAACAAATTGAAGTATGATTTGATGAAGATTAATTGTGTCTTTGGCATAAAGTAGTTTCTAGACCCGAAACAAGGACCAAACTCCGAACTCGGCAAGCCAGTCCATCAACTCTGAGTGTTTGTCAAAAAACTGTCAATCAAAAAGCAAAGTGCGTCCGCTTCTGATTGGCCGAGCTTTCACATTTCATCATTTTGTGGGTTGAGAGTTGAGAAAAGATTTGAACAAAATCCGCTACGTGCTAGAAAAGAGATGAGAAAAAAATGGTCAGTCCTTTAGAAACAACTGCTGATAATTGAATTCCATTGTGTCCATGTAAAGAAATCAAAGGGAAATTGTGCGTACGAGCTTGAAGTTTTGTCGACGTCGTTCAAATGACTCAAATAGGAAACAGCAGCAAGAATCGTGCTCGTTATTCTTTGTGAATGCCAGGAGTCCATGGTAAACAAATTCTAGACTCTACTTTGCTTGGCTTGATACGCTCACTATGTCAAGGAAATTTTTGTTAACAAGAACATCAAATCCTGGAACAGGAAGCATGTTTTCGAGTTTGTTTGGACTTTGGAAAGTCCGTGTTGGTCAAAGTCGGGATTGGAAGATCCTTATAATAACACCAATGAAACAACTAAAGTTTTGTCAACAGCAGGCTTCGTTCTCTGTATTTTAATCCAACATAGTTTTCATCTTTCCTTTATACAGACACAGAGTTCAAGCTTAAACTGGAGGTGAAATCTACGCTTTGTGTTTTGTTTTGTATCGTTTTTTGTTTTTTTAAAAAAGATCGTGTGCAAGCTTATGCTTTATTTCATAAAAAATAAACGTTTTTGTCAGGAGGGCTAGCTTTGATATGCATAAAATATTCGATGAAATTAACCTACAGTAAGCCTATTTTGCACGAGCATTCGAACAAGAAACGTCCTCCAAGTACTGTTTGTGACGAAATGTGTTTCCATGGGCGTTCAAGAAAAACAATCATTTCTCTTCAGCATTTGGTGCGATCGGTTGTATCAAAGTTAGGAGCAGTAAACTTTCGAGATTTTCGAAGATATTTTGCAAAATTTTTCTGTGACAGATATAAACGTAAAACAAAAGCAAAAGAAAACAAGAAGTCATCTGGTTTAAAAAATCTTTGTTTCGCGCAGTCGGAAAATCGCAGTTAACATAACGATGGCTTCGTGGCCTGCTGGCCTAGCGAAGAGAGGAAACAACAGACTTCAGCTGCCCCCAGTGCAGCAGAAATCAAAAATACCTGTGAGAGTAACGCAGTTGAGTAGCAACAGGGACAATAGTTCATCTTCTGTGGACGAAATGAAGAAAACGAGACATTTGCCTAGGGACGGCGCGGACAAGTTCCCGCTTTCAGGAATTCCCGTCGCAGCTTGTGTTAAAAAGAACATCAAGAGCAGTTAGAGATTAATCAAGAGCACACAGCCGACAGGAGAACAGAAAGTGCCAAAAGAAGAGTCAGGTAAACTATTCTAAATTTTCCTTCTGAGAGTTGAATTGAGGAGGAAGGATATTTGTCTCAGCTGAGCAATGTTTGTATATAAATTGACGCGTTTTCAATATTCTGAATATTTAAACCAGGCCATCCTCGGATGGATAGTGAGGACGAGAGAAAGTCTAAACGAGTGGAAAAAATGGCCCGAAGAAAACGTTTAGACTTTCCTTCGCCCCCACTATCTGCCCCTGGGTCTCCGAGGATGAAACCAGGCTTGTTCAAAAGGTTTAGAGATAAAAAATTAAAATAAATAAAAGCCCATTCTACGAATTGTTCTGAATTGAAATACATTTCAAAAACCAACAATCAGCAATATAAAAAAATAATGTTTCCGAAGAGAGACAGATTTTATGTGAAGTTTCTAAAATGAACAAGTTATTAGAGAGGGAAATTTAAGGGTGAAGACTTGCTAGAGACCGCCTTCTGAGGGATGTGATTCGTTAACAAGAAGGTATAAAGGAAAAATGGGGCTTTACGAGGAATGTTGCGTTAATATTAGTCTGACAGACAGACTTACAAGACAGAACGCCTCTTTTTAGAGTTATAAAGGTCAATA